AAAGCACAATTAGACAATTGGTTGCTTTTATATTAAATTTATATTGAAACGGTTGTCTAAGTGTGTTATTACTACTACTACTACTACTACTACTACTACTACTACTACTACTACTACTACTACTACTACTACTACTACTACTACTACTACTACTACTACTACTACTACTACCACCTTAAGCAGGGCCTTCTAGAGGGAGGGGCAAATTGACCCGGGCGCCAAGCTTGAAGGGGCGCCGGACATTACGTTTTTTTTTAATAGAATAAATAGAAAACATTTTAATGACTGACAATCTCAAATCTGCTTAATTTTTGCATTTGAGATTGAAACTTTAGTATTTGGAATAAATTGCACATGAAAAAAAATAATTTAAGTTTTAAATTCTATTCTTATAACTAGTAATAAACTAATTTTTACAAAAAAAATAGGATTTTTTGTAGAATTAGACAGAAGCGGGCGTGTTCCATAAGCCCATGAACATTTAGCAATGCTATTTAGAAATGATTATGTGCAGTGGTTATAATAATGGTAACTCATTAAACTTTGCTTTGAAGGAGTTGATGCAGATAGCACTGAAAACTTTAATAGGTAGTGCGTTCGATGGGTTCGCTTCAACTTCTTTAACTATACGGTTGTTGAAGAAGTTGAAGCGAACGAGACAGTTGTGGTCGATTTCACAATAAAAGCGCTGTTTTTTTTGTTGTTGTATTTGCTGTTGAGGAAAAAGAGAGAATCATAGCATTGCATTTTTCAGACAAATAAGCGGCCTTGACTCTACCAGGACCCGGCCAGTTATCAAATATTTGAGTTTTTGCATCTTGGCTGCACTCAATATGGGTAATTTACTGCACTCAATATGTTATTCGAAGGACTGTGGATCAATGGGGGCTTAAACAATTTCCCTCAAGCTGAGCTTAATGAATTTCAAAGCAAATCATTAAAGTCAGAAAAAGGAACTTTATCTAACAGTGGAAAATGCAAGATTCAAGTTAACTTGGCAATAATTAATGCTAACCCTTCTTTGTGGGCAGTTGTTTTGAGTCAAAAAGATTAGGATGTAATTATTTTAAAGAGATCTCCAGCACAAAAGCAGTATTCAGAAGCGGCTAATTGTCCCTTCTTCATTGAAACTGAGGAGCTAGAGATCAACGGAGGAAACTCATAAGTCGTGTGAAGCACCATCAATGCAGCCCATTTCACTAAAGGTTCTACAATGATTGGAAAGAGGCCTAAATTTGTCTTACCAACTCCACTGGTAAATATTTAGAACTCCATAAGTGAATAAATTCTGAGACAGCTAAATGGCTGACAATTCTTGGTGAAATTTTGAATGTGACTGTTTTCCTGGCTTCTATGGAATTTAACTTAAGGGAATTTAGTTTAGGTGTTTTCATTGACTTGATGAAAGCTTCAGATACTATTGATCACGTAATTCTTTTAATAAAGGTGGTACGGAATTACTGGAATCTATATTAATTTGGCTAAAAAGTTACTTAAATTATTGAAAACAATTTGTTTATGCAGATGATAACATATCATTTAGTTTGTTAAATATTTCATGTGCAGTTTTTTTAAGGATCCATATTAGGAACTCTCCTATTTCTTATATATATTAATGATCTATCAAAAGCTTCTAACCTAATGACAGTTATGTCTGCTGATGATTTTAACTTATTTCCTTATAATTATAACATTTTTACACTTTTTAGCAACATGAATATTGAACTAGTCAAAATTTGTAATTATTTGTTGCTTGTTGATAAAAAAAAATATTATATGTTTAAATTTAGTGAAATATTAAACATGTTTTACTTTTTAAGTTTAAGAACTCTTCTATTGTAATTTTGTATGTTTATTTTTATTTTAATTTATAATATTATATTACGAACTTTATGTCGTCAAGGAGAAAACGGTAATTAATATATTTTTGAAAATTATGGACATTATTGCTCGCATGAGTCAGCTCTTCGGAAGACACAGTAATTTAATTGATCCAAGCCGTAAACACCATGACAAAAGGAAAAAATCATAAAAAAAAAAAATCTTCTTAATATTTCAATTGCGGTTTCTTTGTGACAAGAAGCTTTTTTAGGTAGCTCATTATAAAGTTTTCTCAATATCAATTTTAATTTTTTATATAATTATTACAATAATTTGTAACATCCCACTTCGAAAATGTATACAATAGTTATAATTAATTTATTCTAATAATTGTATAAATAATTAGAGTTGATATTGAGAAAACTTTATAATGACAACACCAACAAGAAGACCCCACAACGAGTACCAATTATTTTTTTCCGTCGTCTCAAAATAAGTTCACCAAAGAATATGGTGTTATCCAAAGTGCAGCTGCCGAAGAATTTCAGGATGGTATCTACTTCACAACCATAGTTGATGGTACTCCTAATATATCTCATACTGAGCGGAAAATCTTTGTCATTTGTTTTCTCCTCTATGAAAGAGAAATTAATTGCTGGAAAATCAAAGAACGACGTGTTTAAGGGTATGTATGGATATTCAAAAACGTCGTGGTCAGGGACACGATAATGGATCCAGTAGGTTAAGTGCTTACAAGGGAGATCAGGGCTTGATAAGGCTAAATTATTCAGAAGCTCTGTACATTCCCTGTAGCGCTCACTGATTTTGGCCGGCGCGCTCGCGGTTGAATCAGCCATTGAGATCAAAGTATTCTTCAAAAATGTTGAATCTTGGAGCGTATTTTTTAGTCAAAGTCTAACCCGATGGAAGATTTTCACTAAGGCAACTGGAATTTCACTGCATAGACTTTCTCTGACAAGATGGAGGTCTCATACCAACTTGATCAAACCACTTGCTAAGAAGCCGAGAGAAATGTTGGCAGCTTTTAAACATATCATATTTAAACATATCTTGATCTGACCAGTGAGCAGCTCAGCCAAACAAGAGATTTAAAAAAATGATTATCATCTTTTGAATTTGTTTCGCTCGATACAATTCGGTACAAAACTCTTACTTCTGTTAACGATGTTTGTCATCTTTTACAATATGAAACGTTACCATTGATGACATGCTACGTTTGATTGGACAGCTGCTGGAAAGTCTTAAACGGATTAGGACTCTTGGTTGCAAGTTTTCTAAGAGGCTGCAGTTGTAGTTGACCGCTAGGATTTGAAACTAAACTCGCTCCTAAAAGAAAGCGTGAGCTAAAGCGCTATTGTGAACAGGCATCAAACACAGTCCATTTCCATGAAAGCCAAACAAAAGAATTTAAAGTGAACATTTTCAATGTTGGTTTAGATAATAAGATCCAGCAGATTGATTTAATATTTGAAACGAGCAGGGTGCTTGGCAATATTTTCAATCTTCAGATTGAATAATAATAATCTTTTCGTTTAAAATAAAGCACGAGAACTCGCACGGTTCCATCCGAGAGATGTAAGCAAAAAGAAGAAGTTAGCCGTTTTACCAATGCCCGCAAAACAATTTTCAAGCAAGCAATCTAATGCAGTTTCTTGATCTAATTATTTAGAAGTTTGAAAGCCTTTTTCCATATATTTGCATCATGCCTCGAATTTTCAACAGCATTTTTAAGTCAGTTGCTGAGGGTGAACGACCGTTTTGTAAACTGAAAGTTGTAAAAAAACTCTCTCCGTTTGACCATGTGTCAGGATCACGTTACTGATATTTAATTATTTTGATTAAAGAAGATTCGACAAAAAAGGTGAGTTAGAAATCATTTTAAAGCGATTTATTTACCTTTCTTAAAAGTTTTATTGATCGATTTTTTAATAGTTTTAAAACTAATATATTGATTCATATATCAGTTTTGATTAATGAATCGTTTCTCAATCCAGAGAATTAATAGTAACGCAAAAAATCAATGTGCTGTATCAGAAATAAATAAATTGTTGCGTTCACAAAATTTTTAAAATTTTAGAATTTTAATTTCTTGGTTTGAATTAAGGGCGCCGCTCTTCATTTTTGACCCGGGCGCCATTGGCACTCTCGAAGGCCCTGACCTAAAGTAAAAAACATAATTCTCGCTTTGCGTATTAAAAAGTTTTTTTGTTTTAAAAGTATTTTCGAACAAAAGAGTTTGCATAAATTAGGAAATTAATTTAAAACATTGTTAAACGTTAAAATAAAAGCTTGAAACCTAAAATTTAAAAAGAGTTTATTAAAGTAATATTGTTTATACTTTTACACGTCATTTTTATCGCGCTTTTTTAATTAAAAAATGCCATTACCACGAGCATTTCGTTCAATTGGGACAAGAGTTACAATAAAAGAAAACAAAGTGCTACAAGGCTTTATTTACAAGCTGTTTACATGAGTTTGTTGGGAGAAATTCAGCCACAAACAAAAATGTTACTTTTTAATGATTTCGTTAAATTTTTAAAATTAACTTATCAGGTTTGAAAGTATTAAAGAGAAAAAGTAAAAGTTTTTTTATTAGAAATATAAAAATATTATCGTGCTTATCATGATGTTGCATAATTGTGCAATAATATTTTGTACGAGGCAGGGCCGACGACACGGGTTTAGAAGTGGGGCACAATCATCAATTTTTGAAAAAAGTCCTCTATATCAAGATGTTTCTTAAAAAAAAAAAAGTTCTCTAGTTAAAAAGTGGTAGAAAAAACGTTCCCCTGGCCCCCCCTCCTTCCCACCCAGCAAGCATTTTGACCTCCTAAGGACGTTTATAAGACGTCTCAGGTCTCGTCCGTTTGACGTCCTTAGTTGGTCTCAAATGAAAGACCTGACGACGTCTATTACAGACGTCCTAAAGACGTCTTTTCAAGATGTCCTAGGGACGTTTACTGTCGACGTCCTAGAGACGTCTTTTCAGCCGTCCTATGGACGTCTCTGGCAGGTCTCATGTGAAAGACTTAAGGACGTCTTATTTAGACGTCCTTTTTTTAAAATTAATAATTTAAAATAAATTATTAATTTTAAAAAAACTTGGAAAAATTATTCAAGCAAAGTTACACTTTCCAAATTAAAAACTAATATATTTT